GCAGCACCATCGAAAGCGTCCAACATCTGCGACCAGAAGTAGCAGAAAACGAACGCATCCAGTTACTGAGTGAGAACGACAATGAACCAAAGCTCAATCTCAGCAGACAGGAGATATTACTCGAATGCCACATAGAAGCTGATGAGCATTAGGGCCACTCTAGTGTAGCCGATAAGGTTCGGAACGAAGAGATAAACAGAAACCATATTCGGAAAGGAATACTGCGGTGATAGTAATGAACTGCAGAAGGAGCCAGCATGAGAAATGATCGTAGTTCGTTGGAGTAGTGCCGCATGGCAGAATGATGTCCTTAGCATGCTATGACGTATTAGAGCCATTGAGGAGCCAGACGAAATTCCACAAGGGCTGCGCTGTGGTAGTGCAGAAGTTGTGCTAGCTTCCATAAGAGAGGTATGTTACTCCATCATATTATTATCTACGATCATTTGTCGCTAGGCCTAAAACGAATATCGAAAGTGTTCAACCGAAGATCTAAGCAGCTGTATGTTCGCGAATGACATTATAGAGAGCTAAGCGGTTGACACTCGGGAGGTCCCGGGTTCGATCCCTGCTCATGGAACAGTTTTCTGTCATTCATTCGAGAGACTCGAATCGAGGTATCGTGAAATCATATCCTTTCAGTGTTTCTGTATCACCAATATGAACTTTTTCGTCGCCATTGGTATATACTTGGCGGTCGTAGGCTTCGGAATGGCGGTAATAACGGAGGAGGACTGGTCAAACTAGGCAGTGATGTGGTGACACGTGACGATCAACAGTGTAACCACTCATTAAACCGATTTCGAAACTCAGAATCGCTTCTCACACGTATAATACGATGTTAGAATCGATTTTGAATTCCTGAATTGATTCAATGAACATGGTGTGAGCCTATAGACTTGCCAATTGTCACCACACAGACTTGCATGAATCGTCTGGGAGATGGTATTGAGTCAGGGTCGGCGCATGCTTGACGTTTTCGAACACTGTGTGAGGGACTTCAGTGTTGATAGCATAACTTTAGTGACTCACAAGTGGAAACTCAACTGTACACGTTTGACAGGGTAGATCATACGACTCACGCCGGTAAAGACAACGATGTAGGTTGTCGTTTATAGGTGTTCTTGCTCGGTAAATCAGATGGCAACAGCGTCTTCGACAAAGTGTATCAAGCTGCCACTGAATATGTACCCAATGCACTCAAGTAGTGTGACTTCCCATTAGCCTTTCGTCGGTTCTTCAGCCGATCTTCTCTAGGTTTATTCTGCGCATTCTTTGCTGCGGGTCTGAACGCGGCGGTGTCGCCCTCGATTCGGCTTGGAACTACACTTGCAATGAGGCCAACCCTATAGTAAACTTCCCTACTCTCCACACTGCTAGGGACCGCGCTCTATCAGGTCCAGATAGTTTACCTCGCCCTAGTAGTAGGAGGTTACTTCTTGTACGTTATATTTGGTGAGCATTTCGTTACATCCCAACGGTCGATCATTACGGCATTTATCAGGATATCCATTGCTCCCTAACCTCTATCTTGGAGGCTACCACAAATACGTCGGCTTTCTCGTTTTTGTTCTTTGCGTCTACACCTTCGCTGGAGGTGAGACATGGGGTAGTTGAGATGATCTGTTCGATTGTCCTGCCTGGTTGCCTTCAGCGTCTATAGCAGACCCAGGAGTCATCACTAAACGCAATGTCAATGCAATATCGCGGATATACCCTATGGACGACATACTATTCCACGAGAAGGAGTGTTCGACATGCAAGCAGCCTAAGTAAGTCGCCTCAGATTTGAGACAGCATCATGTAATATTCTCAGGCCGGCTCGTAGCAAACACTGTTCCCTTTGCAACTCTTGTGTGGCTAGATTCGATCATCACTGTGTATGGATAAACAACTGTGTTGGTGTCAATAACGTGCATTGGTTCGTCGCCTTCCTATTAGCAAACACCGCCCTATGTGTATACGGTGCTGTGGTCGGCGTGATTAGTCTCGTAGCCGTCGTCCAAGAGCGTGACCTGTGGAACGCTCGATTCATCAACCCCAGTACGGGGGAACAATTCAACGCCAGCAAGCGGATAATTCTTCAGTGGCTGCTTACACACGAGTACATAATGATTGCTATGATCACTCTGTGTACTATTATGTCTATTGTGTTGGTTGGTTTTACTTCCTGGCATTTGTATCTTGCGGCTTCAAACGTTACTACCAACGAGTCAGCTAAGTGGCGCGG